GGCTGAAGGCTGGCATGCTCTAGCAAACCCTTGACAGATTCTTTTTTAAAGCGCCGCAGGCGCAAATTTTAAGGATTTTGGAATAGTCAACAGATTTCTTCCTTTTCTGCTTCAAAAATTGTGGAATTCGGAAATTTTTCAAAAATTTCGGAAATAAGAAATCGTAAGGAAAAAAAACGTCGGAAATCGGAATTCCGTCCCACCTCTGCTAACATGCATTGCAACCTAACGGCAATTTTTCCTAAATGAATCCAATAGAGAAATATATAAAAAATTAAAATATTTAACTTATTTAATTAAATTTATAAAAGATGGAAGAATCGACAGACAAAAAATTTGATGAATTAACTGAAGAAATGGAACAAATTAATAATTTTAATTTAAACAAAGAATTGGTTAGTTATTTAAATACATAAATAAATTATTGAAAAAATTTGGTCATATCTTCAGGCAAACATTAAGTATTTGAAAAAGGTCCTAACGGAATCAAAATTAGGCTTGACTCCACTGTAGTTCGAGTTATGGTCTCATAAAGGTCAAAAATTGTGATAGCTCCAAGCAAATTTTTGGTGTAAAAACATAATTATACAAATAAAGCTCATCCGAAAGCTTTAAAATTTCTTTCGAATGCCAATGTGATTATCCGACCCGGATAAGGGAGATATGGCGGAATTTAACGAATTATTTTAAGTCTTTTGTTCATGTTGCAAATAAATGGAAAGAAATTAAAGAAAAGTGTTGTGAAGCTAAGTGTATAAATATAGAAAATCCTATTGGTACTTGCATTAAAGGAAATGGATTCGTTAATTTGATTAATGATGAAAACATTGAATATATTGAATGTGAAAAGAAAGACGATAGTTGTTATGGTAAATTTTCGTAAATAAACCCAGGATTTTCGGGCCCAGTAGCCAGTAAATCGTGTATTTTGATAAAAATAGTTTTTTAGCTTGGAATAGTTGGCCTGGGTCATTGAAGTAATATTTTGGATGACCCCACGATTATGTTTCACTAACCATTTTGAGCTCTTGCTTGATATATAAATGAAAGTGCTCTTCGAGCTGGGTCGAATAATACCACTATAGTGGATTTATTGATTCTAAAGAAATTATATATAAAGCTAAATCTTTGCTGGAAAAACATTTTGTGTAGCTCAAAGAGATTAAACAAACTGTTTATCCTTGTGCATTTAAATTAGATTAAGTTGTTTTTGGTGTTGACAAACTCAGCTCAAAGAGCTCTTTCGAATGTTTTATACATACTTTCGTAGAAATGAGAGAAAAAAGAGGGCCCTGATCAGGGCTGCACGGAAATGAAAAAAAGAATTCCGCAACTCGCAATCCGCAACTAGCGATTTCTTCTTGCAATTGCAAAAAACCCCGCATCTAGCAATCCGCAATTTTTAAAAATTTAGAAAAAATTCTCCAATATATATTCAACTTTCTTTTACATCGCCGCAGGCGAAAATTTTCATAATTTCGCAATCAGCAACTCGCAATCCGTAATTGCGTGCAGCCCTGGCCATCGTCGAAACTATTACCGCTTGAAAAATACATAAATAAATCTAATATTAATTTTAAAATTAATTTTATAATTTAATTAAGTATATAATAAGCCAGCTTCTATTTATGCTGAAAATGCTTTTAATAAACCAAAAGATTGTTCTTCTAATTATTCAATATTTTATTTTGAAATTAAATATAAAATTAAAGAAGAGAAAAATCTAGATAATTATAGAAGCATTGACATCGGCCTTAAAAATTCCAAAAATAATTATGTTAAATTAAGTAATACTGGTAAAGCAATCTATTTTAATCTTCAAAACAAACCTGAAAACGATGGTTACGTTAATCTTGACAAAGTAGTTTTTAAAAACAATGATATTGTTGGTTGCGGATTAGTTTATCCACCTTCTAGTTACAACCGCCCTTATATCTTCTTTACTCATAATGGAAAACAAATTGGTAATTTAAATATTTAACAGTAAACTGACATATCAGGAGGACATATTGAGATTTTCAATATATTAACGGATACTCTAGGTTTCGGCGGATCCTGGGAAATCTCTTTGTCTAGGATAGAAGGTATGTCACTGGTAATGAAAATAGTCGGATTGGGGTTTTAAAATCTTCGGGCTGGTTTCAGGTAAAAAAGTTATATCTGATATTGGGTACCAGAAACTTGAAAAAAGTTTTTGTGTTGTAGAGCTTTTTTCTCCTTTTTCAAAAATATTACAAATTGATCAAAGTTATTGTGGTAGGATTAAATTACTATATTATCTCTAATGGACCTTGATTTGAATGGACCCACCCCTCCTATAAGAGAAATGTTATATTTTGTTCTAAATTTATTTGACTTTGATAATTTTGTAATATTATTGAAAAAGCAGAAACAAATTTAAAAAATGTAGATGTATTAACTGGTTCACCCCAGAAGGGCAAGACTCAGGAGGTCTAAAGACCATGAAGTTAGAACAAAATATAACATTCAAGTCCATATTGGTCAAATTACCCAGAATTTAAATCTAAATATTTGCGCGGATAAAATTGGCTCAGATAAAAAATAGTTTGCCAGCTTCCGACCTTCTGGATTAACTCCGTATAAGAGATAGTACCTAATATTGATAAAATTTTTAAAGGCAAAACAATATTGATGAATGACACTTGTGACGATTACAAACCATATATTGAGTTTAAGTGTTTTTCTGTAGAAACTAATTTTGGAAAGGATTTGAAAGCTAATCCTTTTGCTTTTGATTTTTCAAAACATAAATTTCATAAATATTCCGATTTTGGTAAATTATACAAATATTTGTAATACTTTGGTTTAGACCCCTTATTCTTATCCTGTTTTACAAAAGTCATATCTTTGTTCATTAAAGTCGGATTCCGATGATTTTTTTATGTCTTTCAACTCATCTTAAAGAGCTTTTTCGAATGATATTTAAGTAGTCATAAAAGAGAATGGATGCCACAAAGTGAAACAGGAAAAGTGGTCTAAATCAAAGTATTACATAACTATTTAAAAAATTTAGAAAATAATTTTAATTTGATTTTTAAGAAAAAGATTTAAATGAATTAACTGAAATGTTTCCAATGATTACCAAAGAAGGAATGAAACAATTATTATTGGCTAAAGGGGGAATTAAAGAAATTGTTTTGAAAAAATTAGAGCAAGTTTTTCCTAAAACTAATTAGTCCATCAATAATTAATTTTTTGTTTTACTTTTAAAGTGAAGTTGTCTTGAATAAATTTTGTTGACCTGTTTATAGTATTTGAATTTATTTATAATTTTAATCGTTTAATTTAAAATACAATTTCGAGTATTGGCTTGGTAAAAAAGCCGTTCTATTATTCAGTTTCATTCTAAGTCTCATGATAATGCAGCTTGTCAGTCACTGCCAAATCTCGTTAATATTTGTTAATACTAAGTAATCGAAATATAGTAAATAACACATATACAGTCTAGTGCAGAAGTTTATGGCCAAGGGTGTGTAAGTATTAATTTTGCTTTGCCTTACTGTGAAACTGCAAGATTTTCCTTAATACACTTAATATTAAGAAAAATGAATTTTTAATTCTTAAAACCATTTTCAAATATATGCCCCCTCCCCATTTTTTTAACAAGATATGCACTCCCCCTCCCCTAATTTCTGATCAATACAAATGAAAAAATTCAGAAAAAAGGTTGGACGTATAATTTTGCGTCGCTTTGTATACATATATTTTTAATTTAAATAAAACATTCTAATTAATTAAATCCTTAACAAAATCAATTTTATTCAAAACTTGATCATAATTTAAATTAGGGTTGGTCCCCGACCCCGACTAACCCCGACCCCGACCCCGAACCCCGACATTTTTTGACCTAAAACCCCGACCCCGACCCCGACATTCCCAACCCCGAAAACCCCGACCCCCGAAAGTTCGACCCCGACGACCCCGAACCCCGAAAAATTTTTATGCCCCCGACTCAAACTGCATTAATTAACTAGAGATGGAACGGGATCGGGACTTTGATGCTAAATATATGAAGGAAAAGGGAAAGGAATATTTATATTTTCTCCTGTTTCCCTTTGTTGGTCGATGGTTGAGTGGTTAAGTTAACTGACTTCAGCCATTTAGCTATTTTGATAGGAATGTTGTTCGAATCCAGGGATGGAAATAAGGCTGAGAAAATTTTTCTTCTCAAAAATAAATATTTTTAAACTATGATCTTGATTTTAAATTTGTAAATTTATTTTTTTAAATATTTTAAACTTGAAACAATATTAGAAATTTTAAACTAGTCATGAATTTTCCAAAATTTTCGCCTGCGGCGCAGAAAATTGAAGAAATCTGTCTCTTGGCCTTCCAAAATTCTAAAAATTTTTGCCTGCGGCGCCGAAAATGGAAGAAATCTGGCTCTTGACCTTCCAAAATTCTCAAAATTTTTGCCTGCGGCGCTAGACACAATGAAGGGATACAGAGGCTTTAGGAGAAATTGATGGATAGATGGATTTCTCCCGTTATCCTTGCAACTCCCCGATATCCCGTCAAATCCCTCTAAATCCCATTATATCCATCTTAATCCTCTGATATGCCTTCATATCCCCTCAATCCCTTTACATAAGAGGTGGAGTAAGAGTTACCTTGTGGGTTTGGGGATTTTGGGGATTATGAAGGATAACTTGGATAAAGTACTTCTTGCGCCTTCAACTAATCACGAATTAGATACAGAAAGTGAAGATAATGAAGATTAAGTTGATTTTTTAATAAAAATGTTGATTTTGAACAGTAATTTTGGATAAAAATGCTGGATTTTGTAAATTTTCACTTCAACCCCGACCCCCGACCCCGACCCCGAACCCCGACATTATTTTCAGCCCCGACCCCGACCCCGAACAATTTGAGCAACCCCGACCCCGACCCCGACTTTGTCAACCCCGAAAACCCCGACCCCCGACTTTTCCAACCCCGAAGGCTCGGGGACCAACCCTAATTTAAATTAAAAACAAAAATTATTTTATTTTACGAAAAATATCATTTAATCTTATCGAAACAAGTTCTTTAACGCCTCCTGTTGCCAACAATAATTGTTTGAGTCCTTCCTTCGTAATTAATGGAAATATTTCGACTAATTCGTTTAAATCTTTCTCTTAAAAATATATTTTTATGGAAATATTTATATATAAAATTTACCAAAATCAGAATATTTATGGATTTTATGTTTTGAAAAGTCATAAACAAAAGGATTTGCTTTCAAGTCCTTCCCAAAATTTGTTTCTACTGAACACCCCATTACAGAAATGAATGGTTCATATTCACTATCAGCACAATTTGCATTTAATAATATTGGTTTGCCTTTGAAAAATTTTATCATTAAAAAAGAGAAATATCAGGACAATATGTATATCAGGATTACGGTGACAAAAATAACTTAAGGAGTTATTTTAAAACAAGTAAAAACCTTTTCATTCAACAAACCCCATGATAATCCATCTAAATCCTGCTTGATTCATCCCTTTATAGCCTTTTTAACCCCATGATATCATCCGATATCCCCCTTAATCTACCAAAATCCTCCTAATTTTATCTATTGATTTCCCAATAGGGAAATCTTTAGCCAGGGTTTGAAAAGGATCGGAGCCGGAGCCACCAAATGCCCAATACACAACACTGGCAGTAGCTGTCGTAGGTCGTGAAATATCAGAGTAAATATTAGTCTTAAACATCCCAATATATCTCCAGATATGTATGGATTCTATTTAAAAATTTTAATACCGATTTGTTCTCCATTATGAGTAAAGAAAATATAAGAAAAATTATTAGTAGTAGATGGTGAATAGACTAATCCACAACCAATTATATCATTGTTATTCCAAGGAATATTCCGAAGAACAATTGAATCTTCATCTTCTGTATTTTGTTCATTTTGAACATCAAAATTTATTACTTCAGCATAACTCCGAGAAAAATTAAATCTGGCATAATTATGTTTAGAATTTGTAAGGCCGATAGAAAGGCTTCTATAGGACGATAATATATGCGGTAATGACGCAGGTTCTTCTTTAAGTTTAGATTTAACTTCAAAATAAAATAAAGAATAATTAGAACATTCTTTTGGTTTAGCAAATGAGTTTTCAGCATGAATATAAGTTCCCGTATTCCATCCTTAATTAAATTTTAAAAATTTACCAAAAATGTTCTAACAGAAGTTAGGATCAGGAGTGAGCGCATTGCATTTTACGTTGTTTGTGTTAATTGGACTTGCTTGTGTTTTGCGTTTTTTGAGCTTGTCTCTTACACTCACCCCTGGTTCGGATCCGATAGTCCCTATTATAAACTATCGGACCACCCAACGATACCAATTGAAAAGTAATGTATATGTATGCCGTTGGCTTTGTTAGAACATTTACGGTAATTTTACAATTAATATATACCAAAAGAAAATCCAGAACGATCATCATTTTTTGCAATATATTCAATGTTCTCATCATCAATTAAATTAGGAAATCCATTTCCTTTAACACAAACACCTACAGGGTTTTCTGTATTTATACATTTTGCTTTACAACAATTATTTTCAAATTTTTTCCATTTATTTGAAATTTGATTAAAGACCAATTGTTTATTTAAATTATTAAGTTGTCCCAATTCATCAGTTAATTTTCCAAACTTTTTGTCAGTTGATTCTTTCAACTTATAAATTTAAATTTAAAAAATAAATAGGTATTAGGTAAGTTGAGGTTGTTTTGGCGCCGGACAGTTTGGCGCTGAGTAAAATAAAAGGAAAACATAGTGGTTGCAATAAAATTCCGCAAAACTTTGTAGAAATAACGAATTAGTACCGCTAAGATTAATTTAGGTTCATAATCTTGTCTTTAGTCTTGTACCCAATTTGTTTGAAAAAATCATTCTATAGACATTCTTTAGAATCAACCAAAAATTTTTTTGAAATTTTAAATTAATTACCAGTTTAACTTTATTTTCTAAACAAATTATTTTTTCATTTTTCTCCTCAATAATTTTTTTTAAAGCAGAATTTTGTTTAACATTTTCATTTTTTATTTCATCAATCATTTGTTGAAAAGTTTCTTTTAATTCTTCAACAGTTATTTGATTTTCTGGCTTGAATTTTATTAAAAGTTGATAAATTTGTTTTGATGGTCAAGATTCTGATCAGGCCGAATTATAAGTCATTCGAAAGAGGTCGCTGAGCTGAGTCCAATGACCGTGGCGCGAACTTTGCGGAACGAATTTTGCGGACCCGAACTTTGCGGACCAGAAATTTGCGGAACGAAAGATGCGGACCCGAAGGTTGCGGACACGAAGTTTGCGGACCTGATTTTTGCGGAACCAACATTTTAGGATCGACACTTGAGTAAAAAGTAAAAATTAAAAATTTTATTTTTCGATGATTCCGGCAGAGTTTACCATGATCCATACCGGATTCAAAATTTTTTCTTGATTTTTCAAAATTTTTATCAATTTTTTATCTTAAAATTATTTCATTATTTAAATAATCTAGAAAATTCCTTAAAAATCATTTATATGGCCATTTCATAAGGTCATGATGCCTGAATTTATTCTAATTAACGCCGCAGGCTAAAATTTTTGAAATTTCCGAGGTTCGGTAGACTCTATTGTCGGTCCGCAAATTTTTGGACCGCAAATCTCAGATCCGCAAAATTCGGGTTCGCATAGTTCGGGTCCGCAAAATTCGGGTCCGCAAAGTTCGGGTCCGCAAATTTCGGGTCCGCAAAGTTCGGGTCCGCAAATTTCGGGTCCGCAAATTAAATTCCGCAAATTTCGGCGCGCCCCAATGACACCAAAATCAGCCCAAGGTTTCATATATGTGTCGAGATATAGGTAGGGGAGACCAAGCTGATTTTTGGGCTGAAAAATTCGAATAGCAAATTATAGCTCATTCAAACTTTGTCTAAACATGTTCAATACGGAGATCACTTAATCACACTAGCTCTTTCAAATGATAATATATCGCTTAGATCAGGTTCTGGGCCTCAAACACAATTTTTTCCAAAATTATATATTTAATTATGTTTTCAACACCTTTTCAAAAACATTTTTATTCTCCATTTCATTCTGTTGTTTTAAATTACCATTAGACTGCTGAAAATTGGAAAAAAACTTTAATTTTTATAAATTTTATTTTACAATTAATTCATAATCTGAAGTTATGTCTTCTTTCATTCTTTAGATATGTAAGTTTGTTTTCAAAAAAATCTAAAAAAATTTAATTTGGGTATATAAGTAACTATATAGGTAAATATATCAGAAGTCAAACCTCCTATTGAAGTTAAGGTACTATTTAAAATTTAAAAATAACTTCCTTAAATATTAAAAAATTATTTAGATAAGTAAACTAAAGCTTTATTAAAATGAATAAGACAGTAACTAAGGTTAATCTTAATTAATTTTTTATAATTAAACACGCCTCGTTTACAGTAGAAATATTTTAAAAAATATTTTTTCATTTTTTATATTTTCCCAGACATTATAAGTAATTGCTTTTATTTTTTAATAAGGTAAAATAAAAAACAAAGACAGGAAAGAGGCAACCCTCGAAACAAAAGAGCACTTCTTGCTCATTTTTTAGGTAGATACTAAATAAAAAGATATGTCACAATAACGACAATTTTCCCTTTATTTTTCTGTAATGTCTGTGAAATTTGATTGATATATTTTTCTGTAAGGTTTAAATTTTACTTTTGTATTACCGCTCATAATTTTACAATCATTTTCCTATCCTACAAATTTCTTTTATGTATATTTAAAATGCCGACAATCAATCTGTTTTTCATCATAAAACTTTGCCAATTTCTACATTTTTTCTCCTGTATACATATAACTAAACTTATTCAAAATTTATTTACAGAAGGGAATTTAATTTCTATATGTTTATTTTGTACTTATAATTATGTATAATATCCCAATTATTTTTTAAGATTTTTTAAAATAAACTTTGTTTAACTGAAGTAATGAATGAAGACATATCCTCCGATTCAGATTTTGAATTAATTGTAAAATAAAATTAAATTTCAACATGTTAAAAAGTTTTTAATTTTCAGCAATATGATGGAGATTTAAAAAATGAGTATGAAATAAAGAATAAAAATGTTTTAATAAAAGTGTTTTTATCGTTTAAAATTTAATTTTTGATTAAATTTAAGCCTGAAAACCCAAATGTTGAAAACGAGGATGACACAAACAGAGATGATACTTATTGTGAAATTTGTAATAAAAATATTTGCAATCGCTATTTTTTAAAAATACATATGGCTAAAAAACATGGGATTAATTTTTATGCTAATGGGGTGGGTTTAGTTTTCTTTGTTTAAGGCTTTTTAATCTTTGAAATCCCACAACATTCAAATCCTCATAACCGCACACATCATCAAAGCTACCATAATACGAAGTTTGGCCAAAACAACCCCCAAATTTTTGATTTTTTTACATATTATATAATTAAAGTAAAAAAAAATAAATATATATAATATAATAAAAATAATATAAAATAAAAAACTTGTTTCTAAAATAAAAAACGTGTTCGGGCCTATACGTAAAATAAACCGTGTTTTCGTGTTTTCTGGGGTTTCTAGGTTTTAGTCCGGAAACCTGACCAGAGTCACTTGGAAGTACAAAATAGATACTGGGCACAACAAATAATCTACAGATTTTATCTAAAATATTCCACTTACGATAATTAAGAAAAATGCGATAATATTTTCACCTAAGTTCTTAATCCGTAACTCGAATAAGAATTTAATAGAGAAAAAATTAAATAATTTATTTTAACTTTTTAAAAGATGGAAAAATCAACTGACAAAAAGTTTGGCGAATTAGCTGAGGAATTGGAACAAATGAATAATTTAAATAAACAATTGGTTATTTATTTAATAGGGTTGTCGGTTTCAGTAAATTCGTCGGCTAGACAAAACCGAACCAAAATTTTCGGTTACTGAAACGGCACGAAAATCTTCGGGGTTTGGATCAGTTTAAAACCTACAACACTAATTAAAATATATAAATTATTTTATATATCCTTTTAAAGTGTTTTGTACAAGTTTCAAATAAATGGAAAGAATTTGCAAAAAACTGTTGTGAGAATAAATGTATAAATACAGAAAGACCTGTTGGAACGTGTATTAAAGGATATGGATTTGCTAATTTAATTGATGACGAAAATGTTGAATATGTTCATGCAAAAAATGATTATCGTTGTTATTTAGACAAATTTTAACTTTACCGTGAATGTTCTTATAGAAGCTCTTATTTTTTATTTGAGCAAAATTGGGGAAACACCTTATAAATTCTTTTCGAAAAATAATTTTATATTTGTGAATCTTATCTCCCATATGC